GGAGGGTCCACGATGCCCCACCGGTCCATGGTGGAGGTAATTCCTATACGACTGCGTGACTTTACTGACTTCATCCGTCACAGCGTGAAGAAAAATTCTTCTCGCGTCTAGTGACCCACGTCGTCACGTCACGTCCTATTCCTCCGGAGAACGGTCCTACGAATGCACCTGATTACAATGCGGAGTCGGCGGAGCAAGCGGCGGCAGATGGTTCGCTACAGACAGTAAACCCATCCCTGCTCGAGAAGTGCGCCGATACACACCTTCATATGACCTTGAAAAATGATGCACGACGGGAACAGAAGGGCATGGACGTTTTACACAGAGCCCGCCAAATGGGAATGAAGATTTGGGCGATTGAGAAACTGCAGCGCATGATTACGGCGATCAATGATGGCGATGTCGGAGGCCATGATGGCCACGCGACGCGAAACAGCAATGTTACTGGTGGCCATGCTAGGGCTCGGGGTGAAAACGATCTTTCGCAGGTGCTTCAGAATGAGCTGAATGGCCCGTCGGATCGCAATCCCCTCTCGGTTCTGAAGGAGCTGGTTATGTTCAAGGGGCCTTTCATATATGTCCACGACATGGACGAAAAGACGCGCCCTGTAATGGTGCGAGAATACCCGAAAGTTGCAAGGCGGCAGGATGGTATATGGCCACAATTCCGAAGTGCACGCCTCGGAAAGTGTCCGTTCATTGAGGACCCCCCTACGCAGAAAGACATCGACCGCCAACGCGCCCGTATAAAAGAGAGGACGGAGAGACAGGAAAGGGACGAAAGAGCTGTTGCTAATGCTGCTCCTGTACAAGACATTCCAGACGCGAAACTAAATGCACCAGAAACTCACAGGAAGGGTACAAAGCCCGAGGATAAAACTCCCGAATTGGGCCGAACGGAAGAGGCGCCCCTTGAGCCCCAGCCTGAACTCCAGGACACTCAGTCCACGAAACAACTATCGCCTAGGAAAAGCTCTGAGAGCTTCGTGCCTCCGCCTCCGCAACGGAAGGGGCCATTTTTCCATGGCCGTGAACCTGCCGCATCAGGTGTACAACCCTCGAATATTACGTCCGCAATTCGTTCGCAAATGGTTTCATCGACTGCTGCGGCACCCGGTGCCAAGGCTGGCCTGAGCAAGGAAGTTCATGAACTCAAGAGAAAGGTGCTTGAAAAAGGAAACGGAGGGCTTGCAACGGGCACTATGCCTCCATCACACCACGCCGTAGATGGATCCGCACCGCTGAAGACGAAGCCATTGGAGAACAGCCTCGGCAATATGCAACCACCTAAGAAGCTTGTAAACGTCCCGGAAGAGGAATCAACGCAATTGGAGAACAGCGGCGCTCCTAAGCGGCGGATCGGTGATCGAAAAACCATAATAATACCGAAAAAGAAGGAGAGACGGAGAGACCCCAAGCCAGGCTACTGTGAGAACTGCAGGGACAAGTTCGACGACTTTGAAGAGGTTAGTCTGGAAGCTCTAGATTCAGCGACGACAATGCTAACCTTTGGCAGCACATCGTGACCCGAAAACACCGCCGCTTTGCGACCAACCGAGCGAACTGGGCCGAGCTCGACGCCTTACTCTATCAGCTGGAGAGGCCTGTGAAATCTGGTGCGGAAGGAGTCCCAGGGTTATAAGCCGGCCGTGCGTTCGAGAGTGAAAGGAAAGGATATTAAATTCGTTGCGGCTCGTCTATTTCCCCGGACTGAACTGGCTGCAGCGTTGCCCGCGGAGATGATCTGCTAGCCGCTCAGTCATGTTAATATGTGAAGATATTCAGCTCGTCTTTCCATAACACTGGCATATACACCCGTCATTCAATCATTGTCCAAGCCTACGTACAACTATCGACAGACGATTCGATAAATACTGCATTTCTATTGCTTCATCCTCCCCTTTTCTTATTTCCTATCACCATTTCCATTCACAATTCGGCCCTCCTGTAATTGGTGCACACGACCGGCGTCCTTGGATTCTGCATGCCATATCCCTGCATACTGTTGACTGATGAATGAAAAGCATCTAACGGCCTCGCCAGCGACGAATTTTTGAAAAGATTTTGGAAACCCCACATCAGTACAGAAAAAAAGAAGAAACAGAATCAGATCGGAAATGAGAAACGGGAAGGAAAAAACAAAAACAAAAAAACAAAACGAACCAATGAACGAAGGCAGGTGACACATGGGACTCATCAACAACCAGGACATACATACATTCATGCATGCATCCATGCACACACACCGCGCGCATTGGGAAGACAAGCTTTTTCTTCAATGGTGTCCAGGATTGCATACATTTTTTCTTCTCTCCCTTACTTTCTTTTCTCTCTTTTCCTATATAGTATCTTTTTTTGCATTTTGCCTTTTCTTGTTCTTACCATACCTTCATGGGCGGATGGATGGATGTATTCGAACAAACCGAGGGGGTGGTTGGTTGCATACAAAAGACATGGCGGTACATGTCTGGACTGGTGTTGATGTTGAGTTTTTTTTAATTTGTTTGCTTACTGCTTACGAGCTTGGTGGTTATTTTCTTCTCTCCTTTTACCTTTTTGTTTCTTTCTGATGTCGTGACTCACAATGAGTCCAGTTTGTTGGCAGGACATCGTGTGTCACTATACTACTAGGCATAGAAATGGAACCTACTACTACTACTATTACATACACACACACACACACACACACACACACACACACACACACACACACACATCATCCAATTTAATTCCATCCATGCAGCAAGAAAAAAAACCACATTAAATCTCCCAGTTCTTCAATCTACAGAGTAACTTGTATCACTGACTCGCGCCCAACCTCGGCCCACTCCGCAAGTCCTCGGTCCGGAAGAACAGAAGAGAAAGAAAGCAGTGGAAACTAGTCACCTGCATGTAAGTTAACTAACAACCAATGACAGCGCCAGCCACTACGCCCTAAGACGGGCATAATTCATCCGTATCGGGTAAAGCGTGAAATAATGCCGACGAAATGTTGGGGGATTGGCACTAAATTTATTGACTAAGCTAAGGTTTTTTGGAACTTTGATGTTCACTCTGGGTGGATGATCCGGACTACGCGGCATCATCTATACCAGGGCTTGGGTTATATAAGAGAGACGGGTCGTGGGGGTGGCGGGTAGGTAGGAAGGAAACTTTTATTGTGATGTTATTGTACTGAACTCTTCTTGTGAACCCTTGTGTATTCTCTTGGTGTCAACCATTGTGCCTGTGCCAGGGTTTATGTGGGGTATTGAATAAGTTCCTTTTTTGATAACGATCCAGAATCTGAAGGAACTTTTTTTTTTCTCCCCCTTCCCTTTTTATTTTTTTTAGTTTGCTGCCCCCCGGGTAGTGACGACATTAGGCCCTTTTTTTTGGCCCGTCGCTCCGTTTTCCGACTCGGTCTTTCCACGCCCATCGGTGCTTGTGCGTACCTGCGTGTTTGCTGCTTTCGGCTTCTTGCGGTTTGCCTCCAGCTTTCCCTAGATTTGCCTCTTCAGGGGCGACTGGTGTTGTCGCTCTTCTCTCTTCTCTTTCGAAGACGAATTTTGCTTTGTTTCATATCTATACTTCGCTTTTGCTATCATCATGGCTTCGAGATTCTCGGCGCAATTGCTAGTGCCTTTGGCAAGGTCGTCCGTTCGCTGTCGGGCTGCATCCGCTCCCGTCTTCTCGGTTCTCGCCGGCCGACATGCCATCGCCACTCCTGCTCCAACGGAGCTTCAGAAACGGTATAGCTCTCATTCTCCGCTGGGGGCCACCTCGGCCAATCCCCGGAAGAAGGTGACCATGCAGACGTTACGGAACCTCTACAAGAAGGGTGAACCAATTACGATGCTTACGGCGCATGACTTCCCCAGTGGCCATGTTGCGGAGATGGCGGGGATGGACGTGGTCCTGGTCGGTGACAGCTTGGCCATGGTCGCCCTCGGCATGGAGGATACAAGTGAGATCCTTATGGACGAGATGTTGTTGCACTGTCGGAGTGTCGCACGTGCTGTCAAGAGTGCATTCACGGTTCGTATTCATACCATTCTTCTTGAGAGAAGGTTCATACTAACGTGCGGTTCCGGTGTAGGTCGCCGATCTCCCCATGGGATCTTATGAAGTTTCCCCCGAGCAGGCTGTTCAGTCTGCTATCCGCATCGTGAAGGAGGGTCGCGTCCAGTCTATAAAGCTCGAGGGTGGTGCTGAGATGGCTCCGTCCATCAAACGTATCACGCAAGCTGGTATTCCTGTTTGCGGTCACATCGGGCTTACGCCTCAACGTCAACATGCTCTTGGAGGATTCAGGGTTCAGGGCAAAACGACCGCCAGCGCAGTGAGGCTTTTGAAGGATGCCCTAGCTGTCCAAGAGGCTGGCGCATTCATGATTGTTCTGGAAGCTGTGCCCGCTGAGATTGCCGCCCTCATCACGAAGAAGTTGCGTGTTCCCACAATTGGCATTGGTGCTGGAAACGGATGTTCCGGACAAGTCCTGGTCCAGATCGATATGACCGGGAACTATCCCCCGGGCCGATTCCTTCCCAAATTCGTCAAGAAGTATGGCGACGTCTGGGGAGAGGCTATCAAAGGGATTCAACAATACCGTGAAGAAGTCAAGAGCCGGGCGTATCCTTCCGAAGAATACACCTACCCCATTGCGAAGGAGGAACTGGCCGAGTTTGAAAAGGTTATCGAGCATTTTCACAAAGAATAAATGCTCAGGAACTCACACCGAGTCCTAGTGTCTCATGCTGCGAGCGTTGTTTGAATCAAATCCTTTGAAGCAGCATATCATGCATATCATGTCCAGCAAGTCGTTTCAGTGATACCTTGGTATTTCATGTTCATGTCCATAATTCTCATACAGTGTCAGATTACCTTTGACGGGTTTTGCGCACAGTTGCCTTCCTAATCACATTTCATGTCAGCTTGTTGAGATGTATCTGGTTCAGCAAGATTACCTGTAAATAGTCAAGACAGCTGTTGCATTAATACACATCAACCTTTGCTCATCATTAGCCGAAAGCGGGCGTCATAGAGTAGGCAACAATAAGTTGCTCGTCAGTCTTGAAACACTGAATGTTGTCAGTAAACGAGTGGCTTAGATCCACGTATCCAGACGGCTTACCCTCCATAAACCACCAACACCTTCGTCTAAGCCAGGAGCAAACACACTGTTGACATAACAGAAAACCGAGTCGGATTCTTTACAGTCCAGCTTCTTTCTGAGAAATTTGACGACTGTTTCAAACTTTTGCGAGGCACTAATTTTGAACACGCGGTTCTTCAGGATGGGAGCTGAAGGCAGTGGCTGAAAGCGAACGGTAACTGCTGCACGGTTAGTCTTCCGTCAACAACATGTATGGCTTGTCCCGATAAGCCGCATGACGTTTATTAGATATAGGCGCTAGCAGTGAGGGGCCAGTCTGAAGCCCGAAACAGGGTCATCATTGTAAACGAGGGAGCATTTGAAACATATTGGGGCAGTAAAGTTGTGGTAGTACTGGTAGTAGTTTTACTTGCCTTTTCCCGTATCGACAGCCTCAGCGTCCGCCAATGCTTGATGGGCATCGCGGGGTAAGCTGGTTAGCACCACCGAGGCGGACATGGTCATAGGCAAATCGGCACCGTGCTTGCCGTCTGGTATAGGTGCATTTTGGGTATTCGAGGAAGAATCAGAAGATTGTTTACGATTGGCTGGTCTGTGAGCGAGTTTGGCTTGGTCAGGTTTGGGTGAGTTTTGGGCCGAGGGGCCCTGGGGTGATGGGGAATCCATGTTCGGCGATAGGGGTTAACGCTGGGTAGCGCAACTTGTTCTCGAGGTTAGATGAGTGAATAAAGCAGCAGACAATATAGTATGAGTAGAAACAGCGAGAGATGATAAGGAATGTGAAGAAAGAGTGTGCAGAAGATGTTGGTGTTGATGGTGAGGTTGATGCGAGTTGTTGATGTTCCAATCCCTTGGCTAGGCGCCGATGGACACCTGAGGCAGGGGAGTGGTCCAATCAAGTGGCAGGCCCCATCATCCTTCCATCAACGCTTTCTCTACCATGGTAAGTTCGAATATGAAGAACAATGCGATCTTCAGGGCTGCCAAGATCCAGATACCACCGGTACATCATAAGCAGGGGTGGACTGTCAGCCAATCCAGATACTTTATCGCTTAAGAGGTATGCTCCCATTCAACCAAGCAACACTCCTACTCTCTTTGACTATCTGCTTAGCACTACAATAGCACAATATCACTACCCCGAAAAGCGGATTTAAGACTTTTTCGGGCAGAGTTACATCTGTCAAGCGCCAACCGAGAAAGACCCACTGTGAATTTCGACTCTAGTGCCATGAGGTAGCGATGATGCATGCATATCATCGGGCCCTTGTCTCCATTGGAACACTCGTGTTATCTTGACTCTTGGTCAATCTGCACCGAACAAGGCTTTCCGACTTTCATACAAATACAGTAGATGCAGAATGGGTGTGAATTTGGAGAAACCAAGCAACACTGTTCCTGAATCAGATAACTAGCAGGTTCACTATTGAGATCAGGATTGTTCCCCGGCGTTCCGCTAGGGGACCCATTAGTGACGATCATCCATTCCCGGCCGCTAGATTGAATTTTGGGCATCGGGTAGCCCTGTCAATGCGTAGACAAGAGAACTATTGGTAGTCGGAGAGTGCCTTGACTGTTCATACGGGGCAGAGTGATCAATTTCGGGATCTCTAGTAACATGACAACAGGATCTTTCACGTACGGGAACTATAAATACGTTGCGAACGTGACTCCGGGGCCAGCTGACTGGAACACTGATTGATACGCGCCGAATGACTGGGTGGAAGCGCTGCCAGTGACCACTTGTTACCGGTCATTACCAGCGCCCGTCACCTCATCCCCCCCGTCCCCGCTATCAGTCATACTACGTACCACCACCACAACCCATTCTTAAGTTCCCTCTCTTCCCTTTTCCCCCCAATCCTCCCGCCTCAACAACTCGCCCACTTCCGTCTGATCAAGCGACTCCGTCTCTCGTCCCAGCCTTGCTCACTTCTTCTCTCTTTCCTCGGTCTTATTATACCCTCCTTACTGCGATCCCTCTCGCCCGCACTTTTACCGCTTCCTTTGATCTGCCCTATCTCTACCCAGAGTCGCCCCGCTCATTGCTTCCCCGCTTCGACCTTGGGGATAGTTTCGATTCCACCCACTTGCGCAATTCGCCTTTGAATCCAGATATCTCGGTGTCGACGGACTCGAGGACTACTTATACCTTCATACCTGCTTTATCTGCAAGTCATTCAAGATGAGTAGCCCTAAGCGGAGAATTGAGACAGATGTGAGTACCCCTCGATACCCCTCATGCCCTTGCGGCGAAACTGGTGGCGGAAGGAGACTAACGCTTGAGATTCTTCCACTTATAGGTCATGAAGTACGCCCTCGCACCGCTGTTGCGCTCATGCCTTATCGATGACTGACTGACGTTCTGGCAGGATGTACGCACCCTTCCCCGTATCCGGCACCTACCATATTCCCTTCGACTGGGGTTGGAATGAGAACGCGATTTCGCATATGGGACAAATCAACAGATTTCAGGGGGACTTGTGCTGATGTTCCGCATAGGTTGATGAGTGATTATGAGGTGACTCTGGTCAATGATAACAGTGAGTGCCCACAGCCTTTTGCCACCGACTTTTGGATACTGACTCTGAATTGTAGTGTATGCAGACCCGGCTTGCCCCCCCCCCCCCCCATTGCTGGATACCCGAGTGATATTGACTGTTCTTCTTGTTAGGCAAGAGTTCTACGTGCGTTTCAAGGGACCGGAAGAGAGTAAGATCCATACAAGGTCTGACTATTGCAAACCGGACCTGCTGACATAGCCAGCACCCTTCGCCGGTGGCCACTGGAAGATCCACGTCGAACTACCCGATCAGTACCCATACAAGAGCCCGAGTATCGGGTTTGTGAACCGGATTTTCCACCCGAACATCGATGAGCTGTAAGACAGTCTCGACAACTTGCATGTCCTCCAGCTAACGTCAGCTGCCTAGGTCGGGTTCCGTTTGTTTGGATGTCATAAACCAAACATGGTCGCCGATGTACGATATGATCAACATCTTCGAAGTCTTCCTTCCTCAGCTCCTGCGCTACCCCAACCCTTCAGACCCTCTGAACGGTGAAGCAGCTGCTATGCTCATGCGGGAGCCGAAAAGCTACGAGGCAAAGGTCAAGGGTACGTCATCACACCACTTGCAACATACTCTCATCCTAGCTGACCTGTAATCAGAATATGTAGCCAAGTACGCCAGCAAAGAGGCCGTCGACGAAGCCGGAGAAGACACAGAGTCGGAGGACGAACTGAGCTCGGCAGGCAGTTACGAGTCCGGCGGCGAAGAGCCAGCCGGTACAATGGACGACGTCTAGTTCTGCCGCAGTTCAGTCTGTCTTAGACCACTCGCGTCTTGGTTTGGACATTTCACACCAGTATATTGCATAGGCATCGTTGTCTATTATCTGTTTTCGGTGTTATCTACTATTGCTGTTTCATCTCTTGGGTGTCAGGCGGAAAGGCGTTTCTGGCGGAGTTCTGTCGTTACAAGGTGCAGCAATCGACTTAGTATGACGGTCGCAAGAGGAGGTAGCTAATGGGCGATCGGATCATGTAACGTGGAGGTGGTGCAAGTGCAGGAAGTCTAGCGGCTGCTATACTTATTGTTGGATTTAGTCTGGTCTGGTCCAGGCCCGATCCGTATCTCCTCGACAGCAGCATGACTTCCGCGGGGTCTGTTCTACTTTCCACCTCTCGCAAATGTTCCAACATAAAGACTGTATATCGCTAATGGAGCATTATTGTTATATTCTAACCCTACTATAGTAGTCTCATAGCATAGAATAGGACAGCGTCGTGTTTTGATTGTATTGTATGTTATCATATCATACAGCAAGCGTTTATTTTTCAGCTGTTTAGTCCTAGCAGTACTACTGTACTAAAGTTGAGTTCGATCTGCGATCTAACCCAACCCAACTAGACAACACAGGGACGAACAAAGGAAATGAATGCACAATGAAAGATCTGAACAGAAGTAGTAAGTAAAGCCTCAGCAGCAGCCTAGGCACAGAACAAGGGTATAGAAATGAAAGAAGAAGAAAAAGCTGAGAAGAGAAATGTAATGAAAAGCGCCGATGGCAAAAGGGAGAGAAAACAACAACATAGTTGACCCCGTCGTCGCCGGCGACCCATCGCGATGCGCGAAGAAAAGAAAAGGGGTATTAAGGGGGAGATGTTAAAGGAGCAGGCAAGAGGAAACGAGTAAAAAGCAGCACAGGAAAAAGAAGGGGGTAACAAAAACAATCAATCAAACACGTCAAGTCAAGTCAAGTGCGATAAGTGCTGTCACGTCTGTCCGTCACGTTCGTCCATCTATCCATCCATCCACTGCCGTGTTTCATCTAGTAGCCCCTCGATACACCTATCACATATGACTTGCTGTCATCTGCCGATTTCCCCCCATTTTAAAATAGTTACAATAATCATGTAACCTTCAACACTCCGAATACATCCCTCTTAGCAGCACCGTCTTCATCCGTACTCGACCCCGGCCGCGACCGATTCTTGCGCGTATTTATCACCACTTCGCCCCAGTGTTTCGGCACTGTGCCGCCTGCCTTTGCAGCCGGGGAGGACGGTTTCTTTGAGCGAGCCGGTGGCGAGTCAGTTGTTATTACTTTGACGGGTGGCGCATCGCCATCAGAGGACGAGGGAGGGGGGACGGTGCTGGGGAGGGTGGCGCGAGGTTGGAGATGCGGTTGGGGTTGGAGGGACCAGATGTCGATGACGGAGCTGTTGCACATTGTCAGTCTTGGGTTCGATATCTGCCATACTGGTGAGGAGTGGCTCACTCTGATGTTCGTTGACAGATTGCTTCAAGGGCTTCTCGTTCGCGCTTCAGGTAGCTAGGGTCGGGGTGGTTGCCTTGGGCGCTTTGATTGAGAGCGCCGTAGCCGTAGCCGGGTTGGTAGATGTCTTCATCGAGGAGGCGAGAGGATTCGGGGTGGTTGGGCTGTAGGGAGGGAAATAGGTTAGTTATGAGGTTGTAGATGATGGATGGGAAGAGGGTTGGTGGAGTCGGGCGCAAAGGGAGGGAGGAGTGTTGGCTGCGTGCGCTTGTCTCTTTTTGCGGCAGAAGAATATATTATTGGACTTACATCGTGGGGTTCCCGACGATTACGTCCTAGACATGAGGCGCAGATACCCATTTGTGCTGATCAGATCGGCGGATTAGAGGTGGAGGCGCAGGAGAGATGTTCAATGACGGTAGTGGTGGTGGTGGTGGAGGTTGGAACGGCTTGATTATAGACGGAAGTGTCGGGTCGTGGTGAAAAATAGCAAGGCGAAAGAATGACTGGAATGAGCGTCTGGATGTTGAATTGGATAGTAGAAACGCGCCGGGCGGTGGTGCTCAAGCGAAGATGATTTGCGAAGGTGGAATGCGTGGTTGGTTGGTTAGGTGATTGAGATCTTGGGTGACTTGAAGGGAGTGCCGGTTTGGATAATTCGGTGGGTTGGGAGTGGCCCGTGCGAGCCGATGTCATCGGAATCGGGTAGATGTAGTATGAGTGCCTTGAATGTCGTCCATTGATGTCGACACTGTTCTCTATCAGCCAACTTAGACTTCTAAATAGTAGCAATGGCTTCAAGGGCTGGATTTATGCTCCGTTGAATGTCACGCCAGGAAGTGCTGTGGTTACTGGGTTATACAGTCACATGCCTGGTGGAACAATCATGTCGTCGTATGATCTTTGACATTCAGAGTCAACAGCTTATACTATGTATCCTGACTTAATAGTCATTTCTTCCAAGGCTTAAACAAGTTCTATATCATATCAATGGCTACTGGTCGCATGCATTCATTTGCGCCTCTAAACCGGGGCTTTTGACCATAGAACAGAAAACCCAATTGCATGGTTCGTAATCAGGTCCTACAGAATAAAAAGGTTTTCTCTGCTATGATAGTAGTCAAATCTCTCTTTTATATATCATAGATGCTAATCTTTGAATACAAAAGCAATAAAGTATCAAGTCCATATCAACGACTCTACTCCATACTCCATAGGGCACAGAGATACCAATCAATCCTCCGAACCCGTGGCCGCACGACACCCGCCCGTGGAAATAACCACTCACCAACATCCGCCGACAATTTTCACTCCACACCATCAACCCTCAGCTATCATCCACCACTTTCCTCTACCAAACCCAAACCCTTACACAAAAGGCACTGCAGACAAACATGTTCGACCTCCCCAGCGCGAAGCGGTACGCCACTACACTACCCTCCCACCAACCCCAATTCCAATTCCAATCCCACTAACCAACCCTCCACTCCACAGCGTCCGTCGCGAAGAACTCCTATCCCGAACATCCACCTCGCCCTCACCCTCCCCACCCCCCGAATCCTCCCTCACAGACGTGCACCAACGTCTCGGCGCACTCCTAGACATCGACTCCCTCCTCGCGCCCCCATCTGACGACCCAACACCACAACACTCAACCACCAACGCGGACGAAGAAGAAGAACAAGAATTCGAATTCCGACTGTTCAGCGCCCCCGCCAAATCCTCATCCAAAAACGAAGACAAACCAGCAGCACGAGCAGGAGCAGCCGTCGAATCATCCAGCAGCACAACCACCCAAGCCCAGAAACTACGTATTCGGGTACGTTCGCCGACACCCGGCGCCGTGGGCGTGGAAGATGGACGCTTTGTGAATCCGTTTCGAGGATGGGGGTATTATTTCTCTGCGCCGGGGATGATGGCCGGGGAAAAAGAGGATGGGTTACGACGACTGGAGGAGGAGGAGAGGTTGAGGGAGAAGAGGAGACAGTTTGAGGATGTGGCTGTTTCTGGGGTGCAGGTTGTGGGGTTTTCGGGGGTTTCGTGGGTAGGTTCTTCTATTCTTTCTATATGTGTTCTTGGGTTGTTTGTCATGAGGGGCTTAGTGGGTGTTTTGCTGACTTTGTTTGCTTTATCTAGCCTGGGTGCCATTTGCCCTGGAGGGTCGTTACATTGAAGAGTGAGAAGAAGAGTAAAGGTGCGGCGGTGACGTGTGCGAAGGACCCCGCGGAACGCGCGCCGACGTCGTTGAAGAAGCCTGGCAAGAAGCGCCGGATTCAGTTGCGGAAGAGGGTTTCGGCTGCGGAGGAGAGGAAGAAGAAAGAGGAGGAGAAGAAGCTGTTGGAGGCGGAGAAGCGGAATCGGAAGAATCGCGAGAAGAAGATTAAGCGCAGGCAGAAGGCGAGAGAGGAGAAGGCGGCTAAGGCTGCTGCTGCTGGTGGTGAGGCACCGGCTGGTCAGATGGATGTGGATGTGTCTTCGGATGAGGGTAGTGATTGAGGGGGGTTTCAATCATGGTTCTTGGATGTATGTATGTTCTTCTAGCTCAGTTTCGGCTTATGATACCCACGTTGATATCGAATCATCGATTTGATTGATCAGATTTTTCTAGTTTTTACGAAATACACTGCGAGTGAGCTGAGATACTTGCTTGACGCGGACAGACTGAATTATTAGACTATGCGAATACGCATGGCTATTGAAAGCAGTACAGGGTATATGAAAAAGGTGGATATCAACAAGAGAAGAGCAACAACAGAATGAAATCAGCGCAGTCTATGCTGGGGTATGAGAAGATGATGCAAAGGGTAGGAAAATGATGCCACGGGCGAAGGAGTGGATGATGCACGCAATGAGAGCTGCATCAGCTGAAGCCTAAGGGCAATTATTTGGTTTCTTTGTCTGCGCAGGGTCAGTCAGTCAGTCAATTGATCGTCTCGTCGCATTTGGCGAGGGGGCTATTCGACTTACCAGCTGCGTCTCCAACAGTCTCGGCGGGCTTAGCAGCGGCATCAGATGCACCGGCAGCGGCTTCCGCATGAGCTTCCGTCTCAGGCTTTGCCTCGCCAGCCGGGGACTCCGTCACCTCGAGGGTCGGGGGAGCGGCGGAAACACCTTCGGTCTGAGCCTGCTCAGCGGGCTTGTCGGCGGCTGCATTATGACATGGTCAGTAAGTGGTCGTGGCGAAACCTGTGGCAGTTGTAGGGGGGGGAAAACGTACCAGAAGTGTTCTCAGCAGGAGCAGCAGCACCTTCGGGGTTCTCCTCGGCAGTCTTCTTCTTCTTGAAGATAGCCTTGAGCTTGTTCTTGATGTTCTTGAGGAAGGCTGGGATGCGAGGGTTAGCGACAGGTTCATACGCGCGTACGCAAGACGATCTGCGGGGTTTCACTCACCAGGCATGTTGGCTGTTGGAGGGGTAGTAGGAGTAGATAAGGAGGGGAAGTTCGGTATACTCGAGTAGGTAGATGATGGATGATGAAAGGAAGGATCAACAACCACAACGGTGAGATAAAGCAGGAAAGTGTAGTATAGAGAACAAAGAAAAGTTCAAAACACAGAAGACAAGGACAAGAAAGAAATAAAAAAAATAGAAGGCTTCGTATGGCCGTAGTTATGTGTCCTCCACGTGACGGGGGGCACGGTCCTGATGTTGATCGCCAGCGCCCTTAATCTAGTCTGCTCTTCGATGCCTCCTATTCTTCTCGCTTCAGGGACCCTTTTTCCTACTAGCTACCGAGTAACATCCTGCCTCATCTCCCACCCACCCCCCTCTTTCATGTCCCCGCCGACCACTGCTGCTGATCCACTGGCGCCGTCATCTAAAGGTTTACCTATTAGTCATGTCAACTTAACTAGTTCTCTAGCTAGCTAACCCCTGGGTCTATCCAAACAATTACTCTATCTAGGGAGTTACTATACGAGGGATGGGCAAGTGCATCGGCACCCCGCCGCGTTAGTAACCCTCGGTTCGCGCATCTATTGCCAACGGAGCAGTTGATCCCGGCTCGACTATCCTGTTCTTGCAGTGGTGGTGGCTGCTGCTGCTCAAGAATAGCAACTTAGCAACTCGAATTATGGAGACCATCGTACTTTCTGTCCAAGCGCCAGGGGGTGGTGCATGAAGAGTGCGAGTCAGGAGTTGATAGTAGACTGTGACTCTAGTAGTATCTTCTGCTTCTCTTCCTCCTGGAAGCGACTTTTTCTTTTCCCCCCTCATGGCCCTTATTTTCAGGGGCAACCCTTATCGTGAGATTGACCAAGCGCTGTCAATAAAACCCCGACAGAGAAAATGTACGAGGATCTAGTAGTCCATCACCGGCCCCACTTTTACTTTCGCGAACAATCCTTATTCTGCGCTTATTTGGGACTATTAGATGAATTGGGTTGCCGTGAGTGGAGACCTTGTATATAGGGCACGGAAATTGCCCTACTTCAGGTCAATGGACTCACATCGCCGTGGTGGTTTTTGGTTTTGAGGGTTGGAAATTGCTGGAGCACTCTATCTTGGAAGGTCCGGTTGACTCCGTCAAATCTTCGTATAATGTTAGTCTGTTTCATCTCTGCATGCACGATGCGCCCGTTAGCCAGTGACAAGCTTGGCAGCGCGCCGTTTGCCAGTCCATAGGTAGACTTTTGTTCAACAGTCGGCCGACATGGTGTGTGCAGCGCTCGTTAAGGCTATGAACCTGGCTTTCAGCTGTATCTAATATTCCAGGTCACGTCCATTGGTGCTTCATTCATGCTTGCAGTTGATGTCCAGTGACGAATGAGTGGTTGTCTACTCCGTACTGGGTGACATGACTGACCAGGCCAGAAATAGAATGATAGGTCGAGTGCAAAAATAGGACTTGCCGGTTTGCCTCAAGTGATTGTGAGATTCAGACCTGTTCATCGGATCAGGGGGGAGGTAAGGAACTAGACCAAGAGTCTGCTCAAGTCTGATCCATCGTAAATACGACCGGGTCTGAAGAGCCATGGTTGGAAACCCGCGAAAGTCGAGGATAGCTCACATCAAGGTTCAGCAATAACCGTGGAAGGGCAAGTGTCCGACCGCCCCATTCTCAGTGCCCTGGGATTCGTCGAGAGCTTCAGTCTGCCGAAAGCTACGAAGGGGAGACGAGCCGTCATGGTGGATTTGGATAAGCTTGGAAGCGGCAAATGATCGGTCGCGTTATCGCCCGCTCTTTATCGGAGCGCCGCCCGAATTACCGCCGCTCCGCCAAGTTGCGTTGCACACCAACCTAAACACAACCCACCGGTCCACCGCTGTATATCCGACCAGAATATTGGTGGTACAGGTATGCGTGTTGATCAATCCAGAACAGCGGCTTCGAATGGACCTCAAGGAGAGCCGGTGTCCGAACAGACGCCCCTCCTTGGGGATCACTCGCCGAATGAACCAGTGCCTTCGGGAGACTCCGAGGTCCCCTTGGCCGATGAACCCAGCTCGAAAGAGCTCATCCTCGTCCTGGGAAGTATCTGGGTAGGAGTCTTCCTGGCTGCCTTGGGTATGACCTGTCCTACTACAGGTGCCTCTTCCGCTGGAACTGACCGTGTTAGACACTACAATTGTCGCTACTCTCACTGCTCCCATCTCGTCTTCCTTCCAGTCCTTTACTTTACTGTCCTGGCTCGCAACCTCCTACCTGATTTCTAATGCTGCCTTTCAACCGCTGAGTGGACGTCTTACTGATATCTTCTCTCGGCGGACTGGTCTGGTCTTTTCGAATATCTTCTTCGCGGCCGGGAACTTGATCTGTGGCCTGGCAGAAACCGAGGGGACTATTGTACTGGGGCGCGTCATCGCCGGTATCGGTGGCGGCGGGCTAACTGCGATCTCGACCTTTGTCACCTCCGACTTGGTGCCCTTACGGAAACGTGGGGTGTGGCAGGGGATTGGTAACATCTGTTATGGTGCCGGAAGTGGACTGGGTGGTGTGTTTGGAGGATGGATCAATGACACTCTGGGATGGCGATGGGCCTTTTTGATCCAGGTACCTTTTGTCGTGGTGTCCGGCATCCTCGTAGCGGCCACAGTACGAGTGCCGGTCAAGGCCACGGACAACGCCAAATTGAAACGGGTTGACTTCCTCGGAGCCCTCACTCTGGTTGCCAGTCTCGTCCTGCTTCTGCTCGGGCTGAATACTGGTGGCAATCAGGTCCCATGGACGCACCCTTTGATCCTTGTCTCATTGCCGCTCTCCGCGGTATTCTTTGGCCTCTTCATCTACGTCGAGGCCAACATCGCGTCCGAACCGGTCATTCCTGTCCGGTTGCTTCTGGATCGCACAGTATTTTCAGCCTGCCTGACCAATTGGTTCAGCACGATGGCGGTGTTTGGGCTTTTGTTCTACCTGCCGTTGTTCTTCCAGGTCCAAGGTTTGTCCGCCACAAGTGCGGGTGTGAGACTGATCCCCCAAGCCATTGGCACCTCTCTCGGCTCACTGGGATCGGGGATCCTGATGCGGTCGACCGGACGATACAAGATTTTCAGCTATGTGTCCATGACTCTGATGGTTCTCTCCAATGTGCTGATCTGCACGCTGTCGCTCACAACCCCGTCGTGGCTACCCTTCATCTACTTCTTCCTGATGGGTACCGCCTATGGAAGCATGCTGACCATTACGTTGGTGGCACTTATCTCTGCTGTAGACCATGAGCACCATGCAGTTATCACATCCGCATCATACGCATTTCGCAGCACAGGAAGCACCATTGGCATCACCGTTGCCTCTGCCGTGTTCCAAAATATCCTCAAAACCGGACTATGGTCTCGGTTTGGAGATCGCGAGCATGCTGGCGAGCTGATTGGACGGATCCGCGATAGCCTCGAGGAAATCAGGAAGCTCCCTACAGACTGGATCCCGGGGGTATTGGACTCATACATGGACTCTTTGCGCGCCGTGTTTCTGACGTTGCTGGGACTCAGCGTACTGGGGGCGGTAGTCAGTATGGGAATGCGCGAGCACAAGCTGCATTCGAACCTGGCGCGGAGAGAAGAGTAGCGGAAAGTATAGAAGAAGAGATTGACGATTGATTGTGGGCGACGTGTAAAATTGGAGACAGCGTAAGAGATAGAGAACATACTACTACTTCTACCGACCATTCCTCCCGAACAGAACAGTAATAGCGACATCATCATCGGGTCAAGGCTGCAGGGTCCACCGCCCACCCGCCAATAAGCGCCGGTCTCTTCCGCAGACGAACCAGGAGTTCCTCTCCAGCGCAGCCTCTGGATCTTCCATTAGTTGAAAGACGAAACATATTCCTCTCCACTGAGGTAGCAGTGGCACGACTCTCCTCCTCCTCCTCTTTCCTCTTCGCTTCTTTTTTCCCTCTCCTCCAATTTTTCCACCGTCTCTTCTTAGTCCCCTCCATTCCGATCATCCCCGAGTCCCCTCAAATCGATACTTGGACGATAACCTGGGTGGCGTTGAAAGTTGCGCTGCAGACGTGGCGACGGCACACATCTTGGACACTTGACGCCCAAGCTCCGTTGCTAACTGGATTTCATTAACAACTAATTAATTCGCCCTGCAAGTCCCGCTGCTGCTTCAACCCGGCACACCGCTTCCTCCCTAGCCTGTCCGATCAGCCCACCCGTCGCTCAACACGTTACTGCTTCCAGATCCGCAGTGCGGTCCGGTTCCTGCCCTCGTCTTGCTGTGCATGGCTTGGGCTTCCTAATCACTGGTCTGGCCTGGAGGGAGAAAGAGACAGAGAGAGAGCTTTACATTGGGTTGCAATTGATCGACCGCTAGCCCCGGCTGGCCGACTTATATTCATACAATCGTCACCTGCTTGGATTTACTTTTTTTGTTGCAGGGCATTCCCTTCGCCGTTCTTGCGCACTGGCTGCGATTTCTTCCTTTCGACGGTACACCAAAACACTAATCCGGGGTTTGCTGGCTGCACAATCCCTGCAGGCGACAGGTTCTGGGCGCTTTCCCTTTCCTCTCCAACGAATCGAATCGTGACGTGACTGGACTATATTACCGCGGGATCTGCGCCTTAGATCGTTTCCTACGACATATTTCTTTTTCCTTTCTTTCCTCACTGTGATGGCTGTCGGTTTTGGCGCAAGTTTCCCCTCGACCTCGACTGGCGTCGCAACGGTGGTTTCAAAGGGTGTCTGGTCGGAAATGGAGGTCACTACAGGACTGGGAGGAAAGTTGACGGAACATACCACTACGACCCCCATGCAAATAGATAATCAAATACAAGAAGCCCCGGGCTCTTCTCCCCCTCGTCGGAAACGCTTACTCCTCTCCACCGAGAGTGCTTTTGTCGACAACATACTTCCATCGCTGGTTCAGAATCCCGATATCGAAATACGATTGATTACGGACGAGCCCTCCGCCCTTCTGTCGGGCGCAAGCAAGGTTCCTCATTATATGGACACGGTGGATAGTCAAACATTCGAAAAGAAGACTGGGGCTCGGAAATGGCTCAAGGCCAAGGCGGCGGAATTATGCGAGTGGGCTGACATGCTGCTGGTTGCGCCGATAGATGCTGGAGCGTTGGGGTCGATGCTTTATGGGCTGACCAACACGTTGACGTTGGCGCTCCTGCGGGGTTGGATCTCGTCCAAGCCGGTGGTGCTGATCCCTGGAATGACGGTTTCGGAATGGCACCATCCACTGAGTAAAAGGCAACTCCGAGAGGTGGCAGAGTTCTGGCCATGGATAAGTGTGGTGTCACCGGTGCTGTGGGAATCGGTCAGTCCGGAGGAGCTGGTTCAGCTACCATGGGAAGGCTTAAAAGAACTACATGAAGTTCTCGAACGAACTTTGGATCTATCGTTCTCTCAGGTCTCCACTAAGCCTGGCCAGCTTCCAGATTCCACATACCCGACCGGCATTTCGGAGCAGATGCCTGGTGATGCGGCGTCCACGATATCGCGACACCTCCTGCATCGAAGCAATAAAACGGAAAGTGGCCCGCGCTCACTACCCATGGAGCTTTGGCTCAATATCTTCGAGGACCAATTACACGACTGGGAGATCGCAAAGGCAGTTGGTATTCCAACCAATCTGCCCGTGCCGAAGGAATGGCAAAATCACTTGTTGAAGATGTCGACCCCAGCCTCCTTGGAATACACCATTCTCAGAGGATCCTTCGCTGCGATCAAAAAGCGTATTGACAGCCTGCCACGATGGAAGCCCCTCTCCGACCTTGTATGCCATCTCATCTTCAAGTTCTCTCGAACCGACATCCTCTCCTACCTCACCGAAAACCATCTCGATCTACTCTGGACCACCTCCCGACTCACCAACCTCCCCTACCGCGCATCCGCCATCTACGGAAATCCCAACATCCTCACCTGGTGGCGCGATGCTCCCGCCCTCCCCAACAAAGAATACATCGCCGACGCAATGGACGGAGCCTCCCGCGCCGGCTTTGTCGACGTCCTAGAATGGTGGCGAACCTCCGGCCTCGAACTTCGGTATACCGAGCGCGCCCTTGAAGCCGCCAGTGCCGAAGGCCGAGTAGCCGTCCTCGCCTGGTGGAAAGCCGCCTCGGCCAACGCACCCCCTTCCAACCCCATCCCCCTCAAAGTTGGTAAATCTGTCCTCCTTGCTGCCCAATCCGGTCGTACCGCTTCCCTAGCCTGGTGGGACGCCTCTGGCATCCCCTACACCCATGGCGAATCCGTTGCCCGCATCGCCAGCACACACGGCCACGTCCACGTCCTCGACTTCTGGTACCGTCTGAAAGGCGCCAAGATGATCTTCGATAGCCAAGTTCTCGTCGGGCCCACCAAGAATGGTCACGACAATGTCCTGGAATGGTGGCGTCGTAGCGGACTCCGCGTCGAATTCAAAACCTGCGACATCGAAGAAGCTCTCGAAGACGCGGACCCAGTCTCGGGTGCTGAAGAGCGTGTCCGCAAATGGTGGGCTCGGAACGGGCTTAACCTCGGTGTCGGGACGAGTGAGTGGATGAAGACGAAAGTGTTGTGATTGATCAGGTTTATTTTCTTTTATTACTTGTTGAGATACCTCAAATCTTTTTCCTACTTGCTCTTTTCTTTCTTGTCCATCCACACAAACATCATTGAAAGTTACTTCTAATACCCCGTTATTATCTTCGTTTCTTCTCCGCTGGCGTCTTTTCTACCATTCCATCGTCCTTCTGTTCATACCTATTTTTCTTCTATTACTTTGCATGGAGGGCCTGGGCTGGTATATATTATCGCATTGCATGCATGCTATCGTGCACGGGGAAGAATATGAACTCGATATTTAGCGTTGCTTTTATTGTTGTACCTACCTTGTAGGATAGCTTAACGGCAACTCTTCTCTAGTACTTTTAATACATTCGAGTAGTAAGAGGGCTTTAATCTGTTTAAATCTAGATTCCACTATACTACTACCTCTCACGATGATGTGGCCAGGTTTTTGTTGAATTAGTATAGATATGTGGAAAGTATAGGATCATTGGTTGGTTCATTCTAATATAGATATATAGTACTGAAAGGGAACCGTCGGGCTAGATAAAATCTAGTAGTAATTAATAGTAAATTACCCATGAACCGGTATATATTTCCGTTAGTAACTGATTACAACCGTAAATGACTTATCATATCGGATAGTAAACTACTATATATTTCACATTACCCTATTCACGAACAACTCCGCGGGGCCCCTGTGAGGAGGAGGAGGAGGAGGAGGAGGAGGAGGAGGAGGAGGAGAAGTAGTAGTAGTAGTAGTATTGTACCGTGACATAAATCCAACCCACTTCATTCTCATTGTGTCATTTTCATGAGATATATAAGTGTAGTACTAGAGATGAGAGTACTAGTAAGCGCTCACGAGTCTAGGTGAGTGCAGCCAGGTGCATTCTCTTATACGAAGTATTTACTGGGGGTTGTCCGGTCCCCTTACCTAACTGATTTCTTTCGGTGACATTGGTATAGCAGAATCAATCATAGGGTGCTACTTCATACAGAAAACTCATTCTAACAACTACCCCGTGCGCCTCATGCCATGCGGACACCAGCCGGACAAAGGTCAATGAAGAAAAGGGAAATGGAGCGACGTCAAATGTTTAGGCCGTCCTTGCGGAGTTCATACTTCTTTCTCTTGTCATAAATGAAAAGTGCAGGCCGTTTCAAAATGGATTTTGTGCTTGAGTTGGGTTGATGTGATATCAAGTGATGCGATAAAAGGCGGCGTAGGGAAGTGTTCGTCTAAACTTCTCTCCTGCTGGGGTATTAGGCGTAGATCTAGTTATTTAATAGTAAGGGTCAAACCTACCAGGTAGGTTCATGCTTCTCAATGCCAGGGGTGCGAATGGCGTTGCGGTCGCCAAATGGATTGTCCTCGTCGTCATCGTCTTCCGTTTCTGACTCGCTGTCATTGTAGACTCTCCTTGATGAGGATGGTACAGATATGCTCAAGGGGCGAGGGGGACGAGGTGGTTTCGGGGGGTTAACAACCAGCCCTGCGAATGAGTCGGGCAGGTCGTCGCGGTCAGGGGTCCATCCCGTCTCCAGGACGTCCTGGTCACTGTCACTGTCGTAGTCTACACTCTTGTCTAAGACTTCGAATGCCATAAGTGAGGTGACTAGCTCCTCGTTTGCGTGAATCAAACTACCCAGAAACTCCTCGCTTTCCACGTGCTGGATGTATCGCAGGATTTGGCGCCGTAATGTCTTGCAAGTCTCAAACCGGTTGAGGACTTCGGCATCTTCGCTGACCCGGTGCGTTTCGCGATTGACTAGCTTGAGGGCATTGAGGAGGTTTGTGCTGGCGACGGAGGCTGATGCGAGGGTCTGTAGGATTTCCGGCTTCTCTTTCTCGAGGTTGAAAGACCTGCTTAGTGTCTTCTTCTCCTTCTTTTCCTTCCTGAAAGATGAGAGGGACGATTTGCTGGATGTGTGCTTGTGCTTGGGGCCACTGAGAACTGTAGCAGGTCCATTTCCGGCTGACACGGACACCGTATGGCCCATCGTAGGTTCGTCGGATTGCCCCGCATCTCGCAAGACTTTGGCTTTTGCCTGAGTAGCCGGCTGCTTACGCTTCGGTAGTTGTCTGTAGAGACCTGTAACCCGCTCCATGCCGGGAGTGTTCTTGTATGAGGCAGCCCATTGCCCGAAAAGCTGTTTGCATTTCTCTTTCACCAAGGGATCGGAAATCGGGTCGGTCGCAGCGATTCGTAGTCGTTCCAGTAAGGGCTCATCTGCAAATTCCCGCAGAAAGCGGTCGCCGGTGTTCTGGATTAGGAAGTCGAGGATTGTAAGGGCTCGCAATTGGCGGTGAAGATTGCCATACTTGCTGGGAGGGTGTTAGAGCGCTGTCGAGCAGAGGAACTGAATACACTGACAGCTTCTTACGCAAAGCGCGACTCGCTTCCGTAGGACCACTGGCCTGGATGCGAATGGCCTCGATAAGATCCACGATTCCACTGGAATCTTCCACCTCATATTGTTCGCTGGTGAGGACCTCGATCTGGACCGTCACAGCCGAATACGGCTTCTATAAATGAGTACATCTATTAGTCCGCGAACAAGGGAGTGATGGAACCACATTTATGTCTGTGATTTTGCAGATAGATGTGAGTGTTGTGTAATTGACACTGTTCTCAATGCCAATTGGGCTAGGCCGCGGGAAGTTGCCAAATCGACTTACCGACGAGTGAAACATGGTGAAAGCACCGGATGAGGAAGTGTATAGAGTCGATATTCAATGACAACAACAGAGAATGACAGCCCCGCAAGTATTCAAATATGTGAAGACGATATTTGGAACTCTCACATGCGTATCGAATTATCACCAATACATACAGGAGGATCGACCCCGTTAAGGAGAGGTGGGTCGCCAGACGAGACGCAGTGGATTGAACCCCCTTTGTCCTCTTGGTGCTCACAATTATATGCCGCCGACAAGCAAGAGAGTGAGCCCACAATGATCTTACCCAACAGGGACCCTTTCCGGTGCCTTAGAGAGATAGATATCTATCCAGCGCGCAGCGGGGATGAAGCAGAACGGTGACGTGTTAGGCCAACTGGATAGCCGCTGTGCTGCCTTGGCGGGGGGTACAAAAGGACCTGGTGCACTAACAGGAGTAGCTTTGCATTGGCAGACTACTCGGCAGTGAATTGATCTCGCAGACCAGCAGCGTTGGAGCCGTTTGAGCTGCAGCAACTGCAAGAGACGAAGGATTGGACCGGCGCCTCCAACGTCATGCGGTGTTGATTCCATCCCGATCTCGTGACTGCCCCTCTTGCCCGTCCCAATCGGGACAAGTGCGGGGGAACTTTCCGACTCAGTGCCTGATTTGCCTGATGTGCGCCTGGGGCACTTCCAATGGCCCACGCCGATCCCGGGCTTCTTCATTCCTGCGAGTTTGAACGGACAAGCATAATCCCACGAGCAATCCTGACTCCAGTGGTTGGACCTCGTTTGACGCAGGAACTGCTCGAATAATTAACACGGACTGCTCGTATCCTGTTGCTCATTCATTCGCCACCCCGAGTATCTCAATTCCATGGGTCTCTGGTTAACGAATTCGGCAGATCCTTGCTCCATTCGCAGGCCGCGTACTATCTCCATCTTCTCCCGTCTGGTCCTCTGCTCCACTCTGCTACTGGGTGTCAGCTTCATCTTAAAAACCCGCCCTCATCTGCTCCCATCCCTCCCCCACCTATCCCCCTCCTTCTCCTCCTATACCCAACCCACCACCATGTCCTACCAACAAGAACGCTACATTGCCGAGCTCGCTGTCCAGCGGGCCACTCTCCTCACCCAGAAGGTCTTCAACGAAAAGGCCAAGGGCACCGTCTCCAAAGATGACAAGTCACCCGTTACCATTGGCGACTTCGGCGCCCAGGCTCTGATCATTCAAGCCATCCGCAAGAACTTCCCCAATGACGAGATTGTCGCCGAGGAGGAGGCCAGCAGCCTCCGCGAGGACAAGGCGCTGAGCGCCGAGATCTGGAGGCTCGTCCAGGATATCAAGTTGGTGGACACCGAGAGCGACAACCTCCTGGGAGGCCCTCTGCCTAGCGAAGAAGCGATGCTGGACATCATCGACCAGGGCAAGAGCGCTGGTGGTGCCAAGGGACGTATCTGGGCTCTGGACCCCATTGATGGCACCAAGGGTTTCCTGCGTGGTGGTCAGTATGCCGTCTGTCTCGGTCTGATCGAAGACGGTGATGTCAAGGTTGGTGCCATTGGCTGCCCTAACCTGCCTGTCAACGACGCCGAGACCATGTCCGCGGGCATCGGCGCCGAACAGTCTAGCGGTACCGGCAAGGGTGTCCTCTTCTCCGCCATCCAGGGTGTTGGTTCTATCAGCCGGCCCCTCACCAACGGTGCTCTTGCTGAGAGCAAGTCCATCTCTATGCGCCCCGTCCCCGATATCGCTCAGGCCGTGTTCTGCGAGGGTGTCGAGGCCGGTCACTCCGCTCAGGACGATAACGCCGCCGTTGCTAAGCTTCTCGGTATCACCTCCCCCAGTGTGCGTCTGGACTCGCAGGCCAAGTACTGCTCGATTGCCCGCGGTGCTGGTGACATTTACTTGCGTCTGCCGGTGCGGAAGGACTACCAGGAGAAGATCTGGGACCACGCCGCAGGTGACCTGATCGTGCGGGAAGCTGGTGGTCAAGTGACGGATATCTACGGCCAGCGACTGGATTTCAGCAAGGGCAGGACCCTGGCGGCCAACAAGGGAGTTGTCGCGGCCCCCAAGGCCCTTCAGGACCAGGTCATCGGTGCTGTGAAGACTGTCCTGAAGTTGTAAGGGCTAGGTGACGATTAAGGGATTCTCTATCATGAATGTAATAGATTCTCGATCAGTTCTGTCAGACCGTGCACGCTAGATGCGTCTCTAAAAGTACATAAAAAGAAAGGATACCAATTGCGAACCAAAAGAACCGTGCTCGGATATACATGTACAGAAATAATAAACACAGTTTCGTTCCCCCAAAATATAGACGCCAATTTCAACGAATCTTCTTGTCCTTGAGCTTGATCGTCTCGCCGTTGACGAAGATACCCTTGCCCTTGTAAGGTTCCGGCTTGCGCCATTCGCGGATCTCCGCCGCGAACTTGGTCACAAGCTGCTTGTCCACACTCTCCAGCAGGATACGAGTCGGCTGAGGTGTGCTGGCCTTGACGCCCTTGGGGATACCCAGCTCAATGGGGTGCGAGTATCCGACCTTCAGGGACACGAACTGCTGACCGGGGTATTGGGGCTCAACGGTGGTCGCCGTGGGTTCAATGGTAGCTCTGTAACCAACACCAACGAAACTCAGAATGCAAATGTGACCTTCCGACACTCCGAGGATGTGGTTCTGTAGATGGGCGCGCATGGTTCCTAGAAAACACAGCAATCGTCAATTATGATCCAACAATGGATTTATTTCCAACGAAGTAACGCACCCCACATAGCACGCTGGTGAGTGATCTCTGAGTCTTGAACGGCAAGAGTAGCTTTGCGAAGGGCTTCATCGTAGTCGATTTTCACGTAGGAAGGGACGTTCAGTGACAATTCACCTAGCGCTCAAATGTCAGTTTCGCTCCGCTTTTCCGACGCCGCTGTTATGAAGTGTAGCCATTGCTCCTTACCCAGGGGTCCTTTGACCTCAACGGCCATGTTGGGGAAGTCAACAGACTTGGCCTTGGTCTTGGGCTGAGGGAGGTCGATGAACTTCAGGGACACCTCCGGAGGCACCGTGATCGCGGCGCCGCCAACTCGCGATTGTACCGGGGACGTGGTCGAGAAAGGTTGTGTCCGGAGAGGGTGAGAGAAGGCAGGGACGAGGAAGTTGGGCAGAGGTCCTTGTCTCAAAGGACTCCGCGCAAGCTGCCTAAAGCAGCTCTGAGACAAGTAACATGACATGGCGACGGTAATTGTGGATTTGAGGTCTGGATGAGTGCTTGGGAACTCCGATGCCGACTGATTTTGTCCGGAGATCTTGCACTCCCGATGTGGTTAGCGGGTGGTCACGTGATGGGTTGTATAGATGGCACTTCCCTTTTACTTCCTTCACATCACAGAATGTTGTTTGTATAACTGTGGATTGTTTTCTTTGAACCCTAGTTTGAGTTGATTTTGTTGTTTTAATGATTGTTCTGATGTAATCATCGAGTGTCTCATTCCTGTACTGCAGCTTCAGATGTGCTGTTGCTATGACTGTTGCTTGGTTTTAATTGCTGCTTCGTACTTTTAGCTCCCAACTTGTATACCATCCAATCGCTATTCCATTCTCTTCTCTGCTTGAAACTATCTGCTACTCTAATCAGCATATCCTCTGCGCTATTCTACCGCTAACATCCCAGGGTTGCGACATATCACCACAGCCAAAATGCCGGGAAGCTCAGGCATTAGAACCCTCTTCGCTTTGCTACGCTACCTAATATTAATAGTAAACATCTGCAATACAACAATTGCTGCTAGTTCAATGAATGGTACGTCTACTTACACCCTTTGTTTGGTTTACGCTAACCTTCTAGCAAGTGCTTTCGGCCGAAGACCGAAATTCGAATATGGACGTCGATCTAGCCTCTTTATTAACATCCAAAAACCACCAGCGTGAAGTACTATTCTCAGATGCACTTGGACTTGTCCAGTCAATGCAGACTCTTCCATCTTGCCATCGCATGGCAGTTTCAAAACTGGTTACTTCCTGCCAGTCGATCGGGGGCAGATCTGACAAGCCGGACCCAAACACATTTACGACGTTGGAGCACATCCGCTCAATTTACGCGGTAAGGCTTGCCATATGCGAGCTCAATGAAGCGGGTGCTGCAGTTCCCACTTCATGCCATCCTTTAACTATGCGGCTGCCGCAGAAGAAAGGATTCTTCGGGCTGTCCACCGATTATAAGACACATTTTAATGCTGCAGAAACCGTGACCAAAGGACAGTTAGAGTCATGTCTCCGTTCTCTAGAGTCGCGGCCCCAGTGGTGGACATCTTATAGTAACAGTAGGCAAAATGCCGTGGTTATATGCCAAGCAGCCAGATTCGAGATTGAAAGGGGGGAAATTATTGAACTCCACCGGTCTATAATCGAAGGCACGATAAAGCTTGATCATGGTCTTCAGGAAGCATTGAAAGTGGCCGCAACTGGGCTCTCTCAATATAAGGAGTTCCTGCAATCAGTCGAAGACATGAGAAGCAAGCTGGTGGTCAGCATGGAGGAGACGGAGCTACACTTCAAAACTAGGTTCGAGAATTTGATCCTCGACATGGGTGTCCACGTTGGCTCGATCCTGGAGCCTGTGGTTTCCACTATTAGAAACCTACATAGCAGCGCGGCGTCTCTCGACAAGGTCAGTAGATTACAGCTTCCTAGAGCTATGGTTGACGCATAGCAGGGTATAGCGAACGCAGCGGAAAGTGTCAACGACTTACGGCACACCTTGAAGCTCGTTGAGGAAGAAGGCATGGCATGGGGTCAACAGCAAGCAGTCGCTCGACAACAGGATGCTCTTGCAATGAGTGACTTGGTTTCAGACGTTCAAGGCGACATAGAAAAGCTGTCTGGCACGGTAGCAAACTTCGACTCTGCCCTAGTAAGCCCTGCCCTCCCATATAATTTCTAGATATTGACTAGGTCAGGAATGGCTTGCGGGCAGGTTCGTCCAAATACTTCAGCAAGAGCAAGACATATCTAAGGTTAGCAGTAACCTGTGAGCATGAGTATTCAGCTAACCTCTTTAGCGCCTAAGTAATCTTGAAACTGCCCTAAGTGGATCTCAAATAATCGCTGAGGACCTGCGCAGCACTCAGCTAGGGCAAAATGAACTTCAAGAGCATCTCCTCACAAATATGCGGATCTCTCAAGCTCTTATCGATAAAACAACAGCCGCAGCTGCGAACCTGCAGGCAATTGTCGACGACACCGCGAAGCGATATGAAGAGGTGCCTGCTTCAAGACGTCTCTTAGGCTCATACCCTACACCCGTGTATAGCCTTTTAATCGGCTTTGTTGGTGCACAAAGCCCCAAGGCAGCGATAGTGCTACTCGTTGTTTCCATATGTATGTATCCAATGGTCTATATATGATCTAGGCATGTTGCTGACATTGTTGATCATAGATCATTTCCTACTTGATTCATGATATCATGGTCACAAGCATGATGTGGCGTCATATACTATAGCTGTCATATATCTATAGCATGGAAATCAGTGTTCAAAATGATACACTATAAGGTAGTCTGGCTTTTAGTATAGTTTGCAATGAGCGGTAGCACCCTAACGTAGCACGAAAAGACTGTGACGGCCGCTCCCGACACTGGTGTAAGAGAACAGTAAGTCTCTGAGAGAAGAGATGTAACTAGTGAATCCTGTAGGAATGAATGTCATTGACCCAAAAGTAAACCAGTTTACCTGAGGATAGAGATAATGACTACCTAGAGTGCAGGCTCCAGGCATACTATGAACAAGGGGTGAGATGGACTACCTGAGCCTTTAGGGTTAAACTGGGCAGAAAACAGCGGCATGATGCGGCAGAAAAGCGCCCGCCGATCAGCAGTCAGTCTCCCTCCACCCTTCGCCGTTTCCTCCCAGCCTCGCTGATCTCCATCTCGACCTCAATTGTCTGAAGCAAATCTGTGACCAGGCGAATAAATATTTATACAGTACGTGCTTTATTCCTACACAGCCATTAATATCCATTTTTCCCGGAGACATCAATCGCAACCCCCGCAGCAAACGTCTCCGGTCCACACGCAGACCGCCTTCGCAGCTGGAGCGGGCATCTGGGGTTGCGCTGTTCTCCCCCCAGAGCGCCACCTTCGAAGCAAGGTTAGCTGGCTTATTCTCCCCGAGACATTGCTGTGGATGGCGCAGGGGGTGGTTGCACACTCTGAAGGTGGTGTGAGCTCCTGCTCGGTGGAAGATCGAACACGATGGGTTTCCTTTCTGCCTGGTGATAAGCTGACTTGCTCCCCGCGACTAGCGTTGAGCCTTGATCGCTGGTTCACCACTCAAGCTACCACGGATCGTTTTTATTGGTCGTATCGTCCGGCATCGTGAGCGCGTACAGTCGCATTAAACCCGCGATCGGAGCGCACCTAGCTTTTTCACTACAACGTCACACAAGATAATGACCGATCCCACCTCCGACGCACCTGCTATGGACGAGTTCGCGCAGACTCGAGGTGGCGATGACCTCTTCGACGATGAGATCGTCCCCGTTCCCGCCGTTGAACAGCAACCTGAGGCCGAAGTCCACACGGAACCTGCCCCTGCTCCTGTTGTCGAAAGCGATGCGCCGCCACCTGCTCGAACTGATACCCCATCATCACGGTCGCGTGGAGGCGAAAGGCGAGGACGGGGTCGAGGCAGAGGACGTGGTGGGCGGGGATCGCATAACGGAGGCCGTCGTGGGGATGGGGCTGTGAAGAACAAGCCCGTTGAAAGTGCTCCTGAGCATGAGAATAAGAATGGGGAGGGTTCGACTCCGGAGTCGCCGGCTGAGGGAGATCAGAATGGCAAGGATGAGACAACGGCGTCGGATCCTAAGCAGGCTGCGGCCGCAGAGGGACCGCGCGTGCCTGCGGTTCGCGGAGACAGAAGTGCTACAGGTGGTTTGAAGAAGGTAGAAGCATCTGCCATGTCTATATGTATGCTTGCTAACTCGCTACTAGCCGAAACTTACGGAAGAAGAACTGTCCCGTCGTATTGCTGCCGCCAAAGAAAATGCTGCCAAAGTTGCCGCTGCACATGCTCGAGCTGAGGCAGACCAAGCGTCGTTCCTTGAGCGCGAGAAGGTTGCCGAAGAGAAGCGACGCCAGGAACGCCAGCATCGCAAGGCCATGGACAATGAGCGGGAGCGTAACCGACTGCGCAAACTGGGTGCCTTGAACGGAAGGGAGTGGGACGCCGAGAAAAAGGAGGAACATTACAATCCCCGTGGTGGCAGGGGTGGCTTCCGACGAGGTATGCACGGTGGTGTGTCTGGATATGTCCGGCGAGACTTCGATTCCCAGCCCAGTGAAGAAGCCAGTGAAGACGCCCGTCCTCCTCATCATCGGGGCCGCGGACGTGGTGGTAGAGGTGGACGTGGCCGCGGTGGACATCGCGGGCCTCGAGGAGATATTGCAGCGTCCGATGGTGCTGCTGATCAGCCTGCTTCGGGTGAAACCAAGCCTAAAGCATCTGCTCCAGTCATCAATAACGAGTCTGAGTTCCCTTCTCTACCTGGAAGTGAGAAGAAGGAGAAGGAGAAGGCTGGTGAGGAAGCGCCCACTACCCCTGATCTGCTCAAGTCGGACTCCTTGTCACCAGTGACGGGAGCTTCCTGGGCCGATCAAGTCGAGTCTCAGTAATCATACATTTACGAATCTGCCCGGTTTCCTGATCATTGTGATATGATTTCAACTTTAATCTGCGCCAAAGACACATGAATACTTGCACTCATATTCCCCTAAACAGTACTTGTTGCTTGCTTTGACACGATATCTTTTGAATGGCCTACGAAAGCCTTGCCCATCACTATGCGTCTTTTTCCGATATCCTTATCCTCCAGAGATGAAAGCTTTGCTTATACCTGCTTGGTTAGCTATGACGTGATGTACATACCTATACCGCACCGCAATAGAGGCGAGTCTCATCCCATTGCCTTAAGGTATAAGAAATAGCCGTACTAAATAAGAACATCACCTGCATGAACTATGCGATCATCATTGATCCAATGCCCATCAATACAGTCCAGAACGCCCTCAATCGTGGCATTTCTTCTGCGTAGCTTCCATGGATATAACATCCTGACTAAGCCGAGTGGCAATAACCGGCCAATCAAGCAGACCCCTATGACGTTTGTTCATGATGAGATCACTGCCCTTCATGAGAGATTCTCAAGTACTATAAATCGCCCAATTTCGATCAAAGACATAGATACTTCATCATTGTTATCTACTCAACTCAAGTTGAACATTTAGGTAAGTTGATTGCCATTTTGGTTATACGCAAATCAAGATATATCATCACCCCAACTATCTACCCGAACTATATATACAACTTCACCAACATCGCCCCTAAAAACCACGTTTAAAGCAACTAAACTAACATGAAATTCATCTCCAGAACAATAATACAACCTATCTATTCTCTCAAATCACACACATTATAATACATATACAAAATGTCCCAAAACCGTCTCCCAGGCTCCACCCGCGGCGGCGCCAGCTCCCAACCCACACCAGCCAACAACTCCGGCGGAGGCAGCGGCTGGGGCGACGAGGGCTTTTCCAAGGGAGGAGGTCGAGGAACAGCGAACCAGACATCGTCGGACGATGGGGTTCCTGTACGTACTACCCACTCAAACCCCCTGAAAACAATGCTAATAGAACTATCTACGTGATAGTCCGACATCCTCACCACACCCGCCCTGCAAGGCATCTCGCAGCAAAAGCAAGCCGCCGAGCAAAAGTTCATGAGTCGGTGGGATGAAGGACATGATGAGCGGGAGGGAACTTGTGCTACGGAAGATCATAGCTTCATGGGCACGAAGCCTGGTGGGTCGGATGCGTTGCCCGGTTGGAATGTGCTGAAGGATAAGTTGGGATTGTAAGCTTGCCTGCCGCTCCTTCCTTCCTGATGCTCTGGCTGTTCCGTTTTTGGGATGCGGGCTGATGGGATGGGGTTGGGTTTTTAGTCTTTATCCGGAGTAAATTGGGTTTAATCTCGGTTGATTTGGATGGTTGGGTTTGATGCTTAAATGAATGAACGAATATTATTGAATGGGATTCTTATTGGGGATTTGAGAGTAGATTGCGGAGTTGTTTGGAGAAAAAGTATAGGTTTTGATAGTAAGCTTGAAGTAATGTGGTTGGTTTATTGTATTGATATAGCATGTATGTAACATTGAAGATGGATGCATTGTTTATGATAGCTCTTTTGCCTTGTCTATTCTTTCTTGGCTGTCTTGCCCTTGATTCGGTCCCGTAAAGCAACTATCTTGCCCCCCAGGCGTCCCTTGAGGGTTTGCGCGGTCAACGCGGAGGCTTCTTCGGCCGTGACGAAGCGACGGACGAGGAGGTTGAAGATGCTGCCGAAGGCGAGCGCAACTACGGTGCTGGTCAGGATGATCACGTTGTAAGGCATGCTGAAGTCGGGGGTGGGAAGCGGGAGAAGAAGGCTGGTGGTGCGGATATAGATCGGGTGGTTTTGGCCGTTCGCTGCATCGAGCTTGATTACGGCGGGAGCGACGTTGAAGCCGCGGTTCGCGTCTGGTGGATATTCAGTATACCGAAGAATCGCTTTCTCAAAGTCGTATGTGAGAGTCACAGTCGACGCAGGCGGTATCGTCATTGCCAGCTCCAGCTGTGTTCCACGTTCTCGGTCGATGGCCGGTCGGTAGAAGGATTCACGGATAAATTGTGAGGCAGGTACTTGTTGGCGTAGTCCATCGCGGCCTGTGATAGAAGCCTGCAGTGTGTGGACATATGGTCGTAGAAACCATGGTAGGGTCTCAAAGTAAATGAAGTCGACAGAGTTGGAGTCAGACGGGTTGTCGAAGATGATCCGCATGCCACCGCGCTCTTGGCCGTGACCAACAATCGTTCTCTCCGCGCTCAGGACAGGCTCATCAAGTGGCACATGAGTGGTAACTTCTTGTTCAGGGATGGTGAGGTCGAATGGAGTAGAAGGCTCCAGAGTGAAACAGCGGGTGAAGCCATCCGGCCTCTTGGTCTCCACTGCACCTGGAGTAACAATTACCTCGCGCTCATGCGGCACCCGTAGGCAGACCGGCTCTTGAGAAGCATTATCCGTGAGAGGACAAGAGCCACTGAGGGTGCGTCCGAAGATTTCCGTCAAACTCCAGCCTTTTTCCGACGTGCTTTCCAAAGGATAGCAGGTATCATCGGAATGGTAGGGCTTGGATGTGTCGCATGCCAGCTGATCAGAAGGTACAGGGCGCGGAATGGGATTGCCTGCATAGTCATTAATATGGTAATCAGACCTCAGGTGTCAATAAACTAACCGCGGGGTCGCTTCGACCGGTCAATATCAAGGACAATGTCCACGGTCTGATCGACATGCACGTAACACTCTCCTGTATGAGGACAGACAGGACTGACATCCACAGACATGCTCTGCCAAGACGCATCAAATAACTTATGTCCATCTAGAAGGCTAGAAACGCCTGCCTTGCCCTTGCACGGCAGTAGCTTCAGGAATGGCGTAAGATTTTCAGTGCAGACCACCTCGCCAGGAAGTGTCCCGTGCAGCAGATGCAGATTACTGGAAGCTGGATGGTCACCCATAAGTTCGAATGAAGCAACAGGGCGAGTGGTTCGGGTTGAGTCGATGAAATTCAGCGAGGCGCAAAACAATCCCGACAGAGACTGAGTCAGGGTAATCCATTTCGCAGAGGCCCTAATGCCAATCAGTACCGTTGCCCATGCTACGTCGTCCTCTCCTCGTCGTTCACACATACGCTTCATCATCAGGTGCATCTATCCATGCCCATAGCTCAACACCAGTGCCACCCTCTTTGCTCCCGTTCCAAGGACGGGGACCCCAGCTCTCAGCATCCCATCGTCCAGTAGTGAACCGTAGATGAAGCTCCTTCGTGTTAGCGTGCTGTAGGATCTGGCCTAGCGCTCTCGGAAAATAGCGGAAATGGCGTTCATCGAAGGACTCTTGGGACTCATTGCCACGAAAGTTGAAAGATGCTAACAAGGATGACTGCGGGAGTGGTTGGAGGTATAGGCTCTCGTGGTAGTCGGAAGTCGCTGATGTGAACGAAGAGAGCGCGACAACGAAAAGTAAAGTAAGGAGAGAGAGGACCGTCATAACGTCATGCTTGCCGATGCAGAAAGTTCTAGATACTGTGTAGTGATTCTATCGCGTACCTCACTACCACTAGCAAGCCATACACGGAGTGTAAGTTCAGTCCTCCGAGCGGCGGAGAAGAACGGTCGATTGCGTTTTGAGTCAAGCAAAGCTGAATAACAGGCTGACCGGGCCGCGCGACAGTATCAAGCCTGCATAAGAAATATCAAGCGTCAAAGTGTCCAGATCATGGCACCGATGTCGCCAACTAAGTAGTAAGGTGGAAAGGCCGAGCTGTACTCCGCAAATCAGCGGGAATCGACAGGGGGACTCCGGTTCATCTTATATAAGCGCCAGCCGCGGTTAGCGCCACGCCCGCAGAATCTCGACTCTCCATCGCAATCTCCATTCAATCTCTCAGTTACGCTCTGACCATTCGTGCTCTCCCCACCCTTCATTCTCCCTCTGGCATCATCCCATCATGGCGGCGGAACAGAGAAAGCTGCTTGAGCAGCTCATGGGAGGTAAGTTGCCCATGTCCAGCTTCTACCAAGCTCTAGACAACAGCTAATCCAATTCTTTTTCCAGCGGACCAGCTCATAGGTACCGGCGCCCCTTCTCGCAATGCGCAGCTCCAAATCACAGATCCGAAAGTCTGTCGCTCGTATCTTGTCGGCACTTGTCCGCATGACCTCTTCACCAATACCAAGCAAGATCTGGGTCCTTGCCAGAAAGTTCACAGCGAAGGATTGAAGACGGAGTATGAGACCGCCTCGGCGGCCGAGAAGGCCAAATGGGGATTCGATTACGACTATATGCGCGACATGCAGAAATATATCGATGATTGTGACCGACGTATTGATACCGCTCAGCGACGATTGGAAAAGACTCCAGATGAAATTAGGCAGACCAACAACTTGGTAAGGCATCCACCCCATCCCATCAACAGGATACCTCAAGCGGCCAAGAGAAGACATGTAGCTAACCACAACCCCGAAATAATAGCTGAAACAAATCTCCGACCTAACGAAAACCATCAACACGGGCCTCCTCGAGATCTCGGTGTTGGGCGAAACCGGCTCTGTCGCACAGGCCCTGAACGAACTGCACAAGATCCGCACCGCGAAGCACCAAAAGGAAACGTGTGAACGCGAATTGAAGAACCTCCAAGATACCTCCGGTCCGTCGGGCCATCAGAAGCTGCAAGTGTGCGATGTCTGCGGCGCGTACCTGAGTCGTCTCGATAACGATCGTCGGTTGGCGGACCATTTCTTCGGAAAGATGCACATGGGATACTCGGATATGCGCAAGGGGTTTAAGAAGCTCAGCGAGGAGCTTAAGGGACGGCCTCCGCCGGTTCGTCACCACGATGACGATGATGGTGGTTGGGGTGGACGCTCCGGTGGTGGACGTGGTCCTCGGTATGGCGGTGGTGGTTACAAGAAGCGCGGTCCTCGCTGGTAAAATATTGATGAAGCGTCTTGTTTTCTTTCTTGGAGTTTATTCTGCAATGCTGTTGTAATTTGTCTGGATTTGCATAGCGCAGGCGTTTTTGTTACTACTACGTCTGGGATGTTACGGATTAAATAAAAATATAATAAACATGTACAGGCCGACTTCAGTTGCTTTCAACTTTCGCCCCCGAATCCCGTATGTGGATCTGTGGCAATAGGACTGAGCAGTAGTAATGCTATTACGATAACATCATATTGGCAGTACGCCAATTTGTTTACCAAGTATATGAAGTCTTCATAGAAAAGAAATGGTATGAAGTAGTAGAATAGTGTTCATTTTGACATACCAATTCAACGCATGTAAAACAGCATGCGGATAAACACAAGATGAGATGAGGGGAAATTCCATAGTGGAAAAAAAAGAAAGAAAAAAGGAGAAGGGATAAAATAACAAACCCAGTGTTGAAACAAACCTCGCTGGGGGTACATAAAGTCCATCGTTTCATGGTAAGCACAAAAAAGCAAAGAGAACAGATCAAATAGATAAGCAGCCCGTAAAGTCGCCCAAATACCCGTTTTGGAAAAGAAAACCCTACCCCAGCACATGGGAATAGTAGTGCGGGGAAAAAAAAAATTACACCAAGCCCCGGAGATAACCCTGCAAAGAAGATGGAAAGCGAAAATATGGGAGAAGAAAGATGTTACTGTACAATAGGCAGTGTTGAAACACCCTTTCCCCCCCTTTCTCTCTTTTTATTTTTTTTTGTATTTGTCTCTCTACCGTGCATTCTGCTGTGGACCGTGTCCATTGGTCCTGGTCGCCGTTGCTAACTCTTCTATCAACATCGTGTAGTTTGAGCTGACTTCTGGTCGACGTAGGAGGATATCCCGGACCACGCTTAGCTGGGAGGCGTCTGCGTTCGGGGCATGGGATAGAAGTTGCTGGATAGCGGGTGTATTGGCTTGCGCACCGAGGACCTGTATTGCGGCGGCGAGCCCGGTGAGAGGTGGTTGGTTGGGCTGTGGAGGCTGGTAGGGGGTGAATTGTGGAGCTGCTGGTGGTGGCTGTTGTTGGTGTTGTGACTGAGCTTGATGCCCATAGGGTATTTGCGTTTGAGGCGTTCCGTCGTAAGATGATACAGGAGTGGGTGTGAATTGGGACGCAAGCGGCGGTCCAGGAGTCAGGAAATGCGCCTGCTGAGGCGTCCCCGCTGCCACAGTCAATGGACTGGCAGAAGCACCGGGCTCCTGGCTCGGGAAGTGCGAAGGAGGCTGCACGGATGGCGGATTGGAATCGCCAGTCTTGACGGCAAAGACCACGAGCATGACGCGCTCCGGTGTCGGATCTTCAAGAGCGTTGTTCTCCAGAAGCTCGATGAACTCTGGCTTCTTAGTGGAGCCTGCTTCAATAGGGATAAGGTAGGTATCTTTGACAGCTGGCAATGGATGTTTGCCAACAACACCATACCTCGAACGGTCTTGGAAGTAGCTAAATAGCTTGTCGAACCCTGCACGGTCCTTAGGGGAGTCGGGGCGGCTGATCGAGATAACAGTCAC